TCGCAGTACAGTCCTCAACTCAGATCTGAAAAAAAAAATCAGTGGATGGCTGTTTTCTGACTGGTTGGCAGACCCCCGACCGGTCGGCCCTACTGGTCACCTGCAAAACGGTCGGCGGTCGGGGTCGGCTGTATGCAATCCTGGCTATGGTGATAATCAATTATCGTTGCACTCTGTGCGACTCAGCATGTGTGTTTCTGTCGACTTTGTGCAAAATCTTGTATGTTTGTAGGTGTGTCAAATTGCAGGACTGGATTTCTCAGTTGACCTTCTCTCTTACAATCTTTGGTGTTTCCTGACAGGCTTCTGTGTTCAACCGTACTGAGATCGTTAATCTTCTGATGGATGCTGGAGCAGACCCAACAGTGAAGAATGCCCAAGGTGACTGTCTCTCTCTCTCTCTCTCTCTCTCTCTCTCTCTCTCTCTCTCTCTCTCTCTCTCTCTCTCTCTCTCTCTCTCTCTCTCTTTCACGTGCGCGCCCGCTCTCGCTCGCTCGCTCTCTCCCTCTTTTTTGCAATGTATGTATGAAAGAGAGAGTTGTCTGCAGTTATAAACAGATATGGTTTGGTATTTCCCTTTTTCGGAGTTTTTCCTTTATTGATTCTGTTTTTTTATTTCTTGTTTAACGGAAATGAATCATGCTCCTTTTGATTGTACCAGAAGCGGAAGCTGAGTTAGTTGCAGGCTATAACGTAGAATATTCTTCCATTGGTTTTGCTCTTTCTTTTTAGGGGAGTATGCTAATATGATATTAATGAGTCGTTTATGTACAAATGACTCTGGCGAGCCAACGAACGCGAGGGCCGAAGGCGCATCTTGAAGGCTGCTCTCCGATCGCCGCCGGATCTTCGCAGTGAGCCTTTTCGTCCGCAACCTGCGGCGGTTGCCCTCTCTATCGACGACCCTCTTATCGGCAATGCTCTTCAGTCGCATGACAAATTTCTCAAGCTCATGAAGTACCACATTTAGCAGACCTACTGCTGTTATTCTGAGGGGGTTGAGCCAGCCTGCTAGGACTGTCAAGACTGTGTGCAATGTAATATCATGCTGTTGTGTGTGCAATGTAATATCATGCTGTCGTGTAATGTGTGTGTGTGTGTGTGTGTGTGTGTGTGTGTGTGTGTGTGTGTGTGTGTGTGTTGTGATGCGTACTATACATGTCCACAACGACCGTGTCAGACTGTTTTGCCGGACTCTGCTTGTGTGTGTTGTCATGTTCACCGGACTCTGCATGTGTGTGTTGTCATGTTTGCTACACACAACTCCATAAAGGCCCAACTGTGCTAGACTTTTTCGCCAGACTCTGTGTGTGTGTGTGTGTGTGTGTGTGTGTGTGTGTGTGTGTGTGTGCATCTCTCCTCTCCCCTCTATTACACCCCGTTGTATTGCTTGGTGGTCACTGAAGCTCAACGTGCACTTTTCTTACGTGCAGTGGCCCTAAGGGCCTCGCTCCACGCATCACGAAAGAAAAACATGTGGCTTGTGTGGTTCGAGTTTCTAGGAGAAAATTCATTCTAGTTTTGCACATTTGGTGAGTAGTTGAGTGAAGCCCTGAAAATCGCATGCCGAGTTAGTAAGTCAGTAACCCATAACTGCTGAAACACGGACCTGAATTCGACGCTACACCATATATAGCTAGCCTGCTCCCTCCTTACCACAAGTTCAGTGACCACCCTTCTCCTGCCCATGGGACCCTTGCCAATTATTGGCAGGGACCTTTTGAAGTACCGGCAGGGGTTGTCTGGATACTTTGAAAGGGCTCTCTCTCTCTCTCTCTCTCTCTCTCTCTCTCTCTCTCTCTCTCTCTCTCTCT